ATCGTCATTAAAACTAAAAGTATGTAATTGACTGTTTTCAACGCAATGACGAATCCAACTTAAAAATTTCTTTCGCACCATTGAAATTAAGAGAATGCAACGATAAACAGATAAAAGACAAAAAATAAATGAACACGAAAAGTATGAAAAGAGAACGGAGTTTGGACTGAATGGAGAACAGAGTACAAATTAGGCATCCAGTAAACAGATATCTCTTCGAGCACAAGATATGCGTGTGCAAACATTGCCATACATAAGAGTAAAAGAACGAGAAAGAAAAAAGGAGAGTGTAAAGTAGACATGTTTACGGGCACGGGAATTCTCGTGACCCCGGGCTTACTCGTTTTGTGTTTGGGTAATGCGCACTATATCAAGGTGACTTGAAAAAGCGAGTTGTGTTAGTACACCACGGAACAACTACCGATGGAAGGCCACCAACTGTCCCATCGCCTGATTGTAGCCTACACATTTCTGATTAAAATAAGACATCTTTCAGCTCTACACGACCAATTAGATCTTATTAAAAAAGGTTTTGGTTATTTCTACGTGAAAACGATAAGTTTTATTTTGATGCTTAGCTGGCGAATGTTGTGAGTATTTATAATGTCGTACTTTTCCTCCTGCGATACATTGCAATCTAAACAAACCCTATACACACGAAGTATAATGTGTTTTTCCATGCTTATTTCCGGATCATTTATGTGAATTATACTATTCATTTGCGACAACAATTTCTATCAGATATATTTGTATAAAGTTAGTTTAAACTAATTAACTATACAGTTTACAAAACTTATTAATAACTTTTCTTATTCTAGAAAGGGGAACTGAACGAAAATTGAAGAACCGTTCTTGTTGATTGAACGGGGAACTGAAAAACAGTTCCCGTTATCGAGAAACCGCAGTACAAAGAACTCTGAACTGTCACAGGCTTAGTCGTGTCTAGGCATATCTCTCTTTTGTTTGATGATTTAAACCAAATAACAGAAATTTGAAAATGCAACAAGATATGCTCGACCGAGCACAAGATATGCCATACATGAGAGTAAAAGAACGAGAAAGAAAAAAGGAGAGTGTAATATCTGTAGTCTGCAGTGCAATGCTGAATCTCTTCTGCAGAAGTTAAAAGTGACTTTTGATAACTAAACAATGCAGCTCGAATTCAGATTGTTTTAGATTTTCTGTGGTAACTAATTGTCTTAAACAGATTGACAAGTGAGGACAATAATCCACAGCCAAGACTCATCTGAATCGAAAACGGATCACACCAGAACCACATTTATAGCTTGTTTTATCAATTTTCTCACTGTATATTTAAAAACGTGTTGAAAGAATATAATGGTGAATGAAACAAGGTTAAACTGACTTTTCCTCTTTCTTCACACAGCGAAAGAGAATATCTATCAAGATATGCATCGTGCATGTGCGAGAAGAGATATCTCCATTTTTGCTAGATGCCTGTTATTTGATTTTTATGCTGTTTTAAAAATGGGGCTGTAAACAGAAGTTTTAAAAGATATCTTTTCACTGTACGTGCACAGTTCTAAAGTAGAATATTTCATATGCGCTTCTTCATATTTACACATCAATACGTAAATAATAAAACAACTATAAACAAAATGATGTGCAGGCAATGGCCACCATTGCGAATTTGCAATACACAAGCAAAACTTTATGAATTTCTAACACAAAATAACGTGTCTATATTTTGAAGTGAATCAACTACTAATGGCAGCAAATATACATATCAGCGTGCTTCGCACAAGAAATTTCTATCATCCGTTATTGAACCGAAGGTTGCTCCTTTATTACACGATCATTATTCTTTTCGTCATAAACTATTTGGATATTGTAGGGAGAGAGATGGACAATTACATCAATGAATTTAAATACTGGTTTCAGGATGTTGCTTCAAGATACCCATTAACAAATAATGGGCTCGAAATTATCAGCGGCAAACGGGAATTTCTTTACATAACGGGTGGTCCAGATTAAATTACCGGTTTTTGATAGGCTTTTTCTCAAGTTAGACTCCATCAGAAAATTTGGTTCTGATGCTAAAGGATAAAGAATTTTGTGTAGATTTTATTGATATGTTCTTTTTTAAATAAGCATGTACCGTTCTTTTGTAGCAGTAAATGTATGGAATGCCACAATAATATCACTTCCTCAACTACGAAATTCAAAACGTGTAAAAATCAATTTTGTCTAGCTAGAGTGAGTTCAAAAATTCTGTTCTTATAGTAAGACATGTAGAACTTTCCAGTGTATCTCGTGGTGTTTTGGATTCGATACGCTCAGTTACTTCTCCTTCGAAAACTACAAAGCATTAAAACGACGTCATCCTACTTTTCGTTCGCAATTTTCTCACAACTTGGCCTTACAAAAATTATCCTTTTAATGTAAACAGATGCATATTTAAAGCTCAACAAAATGCTCTTCTTTATTAGGGCTGACCTCTTTTCTAACCGAATGACGAAGTTGAAAAGTTTTTATTGCCATGAAAATGCGGCAGAAATAGTTAATTAGCATATTCTGTAGGCGGTTTTCAACATAGTAAAACTCAGTCCAAAAATTTGGTTTCGTGTCTTAAAAACAAATACGTTTCTGTACTTTTCATAGTATGTTTGAATAGCGTATAGAAAATTATTTAGCAAATAAAAATGAGATTTTATTTCAATCAAGTGCTGAGCAAATGATGTTTTTGTAGTATCCAGTACTTTTAATGCTACAAAAGAACGGTACATGCTTATTTACAAAAGGACATATCAATAAAATCTACACAAAATTCTCTATCTTTTAGCATCAGAATCCAACTTTCTGATGGATTGTAACTTGTTAAAAAAGCCTATCAAAAACCAGATACATTTAGATCATAATTTACTGTCAAACAGTTTGGTAATTAATATGGTCGTTCTCTTAGCTTTTTCTTTTCGTAATTCTTTCCGCTCCTTCATCACTCCAATTTGACCGTAAATAGCCAATAGTTTTTGGTCATGATTCAGTTCTCTAAAAAGTCTCGGTTTACCTAACTGCTTTTTCTTCAAAAAAGAAAAAAATGCGCAAATTCCTTTTCTTTCCATTACTCAAACTTTTTGTTTTATCTGGCTATACTATCATAAAAATACACAATGCATCATATAAAATACTCGGTTTTATCGAACTTACTCAATGTTTGCTTTCACATTGGTTTACGGTTCTGTATACATACATAAGTCATCGCGGTCTTATAAAAACAAACAAAGATAGACGTTAAACTTTGTTGAGTATAAATAAGTAACAAAAGGTCTTCACTTTTCTTCTGTTACACTGTTATTATTGCATCAAATATATTTTCAGGACAGATTTTACAAAAAACCCACTGTTTATTCAGAACTAAAGTATGTACTGACTGTCGCTTATTTCTTCATCCGATTTTCAAATAGTTCTAGGAGGCATCGTGTTTTACTGTAACCTAGCTCTGAGGTATTTTCCCACACTGTGGGTGTCTTCAATCATCAATAGAAACCTCGCAAAAAAGGCAGGAGAAATTATTATCTCACTTCTGGTAGATTAAACTGGTTGGTTAGAAATAAGCGCTCTACGAAATTTACCTTTTTTTGATTCAGTTTTAACAAATTCTGTGTATTTGGAGATGATATCGTACCTTGTTGCGTGTATTGTCACGTGCTATGGTGGAATCTTTGGAATCTCCTAAATCTCTCCCGACTAGACCCCTAAGTCAGTCATTTTAGGAAATCCCATAATCGGAATATTAGTTTTTTTTGGGCGTAAAAATTGAATATCTCAGCTAAGCAACAATTTTAGGGTCTCCGGTTTTCGCCAAACTTCATGAAAAAATTTGCTCTCTCTTGGAAGTCTTTTACTTTAGAAGGAATATGAGATGATCGATTGAGTAGCATTATACGGTAAAGACCGTGGCTTGTCTTTAATGGCTCATATACGGTGCAGAGCTGATGACCTTATTTCACCCCTACACGGTCATCGCGCACGGGTGAAATAAAATTTACCTGCGTTAAAATTTGCAAGTTAGAAAAGATCTTTTGTTCTGCACAGGAAGAAGGTGAAGGTGAACGCTTCTGCACTGCCCTGCAGGTCGACTGCAGGTGGACCCTAAGGCGAGGTATAACAATTTTTTTTCCTGCTGACTACTATCAGTCTGTATTACACACTGATAATTATACACTGTATCACCAGCTACGATTCACTATTTGTTCTATATTTTTCTCTTTCCGTTATCATTATAGTCTTTTGTCACCTTCTATATACTATACGTAGTGCGCATAGCAAACAAACGTATTATATACAATAAGAGCGAAATTCTTTTAGCGAAATTGTTTTTCTTTATTCTATATTTTTCGTTTAGTTTAGTTTAAACTTTATTCATTTAAGAAAGAAATAAGAATGGTCATTCTAGACAGATGCGGTCTCGGCCATTATATCAGAGGAAAATGACATGGTAAATGATATAAGCGATTACGGATAAAACGCATGGCTCATAAATAACAGATCTAAAGCATAGTCTACGATTCTCTACATGCAGTTTTCTATACGCGCTAACTCATTTTTTACGTGAATGTAACTTATCGATGATATTGAATCATCTCATCGTCTCGTATTACTTGTAATGCCTATTGTCATAAACTGGCATCATATGTAACATATAAGAAAGTGTATCTTTAAGATAGAAAACAAGATGATCTATTAAACTCGTGAAAGGATAAGACGACATCTTATTATTTCTTGCGACAAAATCCTATCCAGAACAGGAGATCACTGTGGGAGTACACTAGTAGATATCGTTCCTTCTCTTTTCTGAAAAGGCTTGAAGATTCTTTACCTATTTATTTCGTGTTCTTCACAATATTTCATCATCTGTTTGTTTTCTGTATAGACAAATCTCTATCAAGCTTATCATCTAGGCGTCGTTTCTGTTCATTACCGTCAATAACAAACACATATATATATATATATATACAGATAAGCCGAAAATAGAAGTAATGTTGTCCATACTTGGTCGTCTTAGTTGTCCACTGGTTCGCTTGACGAGGGTAACCGTTTATCGTCATTATCGAGCAGCTGTTGCAGATCACATTGTGCCAAAAGAGGGTTACAATTCAGATTTGAGTTTGGATTTGAACGATGTATCACCTAAATCGATAACAAATAATCTACTATCAATGTCCAATAGACAAGCAAATCGCTTATTTTTTGATCATGAAGTACGGTTCGGTGTAATTGAGAAATTTAAACAGTTAATTCAAGCATCCACGAATAATTTAGATGCCAAAAGACAATTGCATGAAATATTATCAATGATTTATCATCAAAAATTTCGAATACCAACAATTGAAAAAATTCATGCAGGTGCTGATTATCTTTTGAATGATATTAATTACATGTTAGAACAATATTTATTAGATTACGTTGATAATTTAGTTGGTCCTCAAATGGCTAAACTTGATATACCAAAAACAGGCAAAGCCTATGTTAAATGGATAATGAATATCATACAAAATCATGCGGCCGTCAAACATCCGTATTATAATGAGTTTATGGCAACAACAGCGGATAAAAACGATCTTAAATATTGGCTAGCGCAGGAAAGTACATTAGATCAGAAGTTTGACGACATTTTGGCATTGATGCAAGTGGGATCATCAGGCATTGTCAAATTGGAAATAGCCAAAAACTATTGGGACGAAATGGGTAATGGCGAACAAGGAAAAACTCATACATATCTGTTTGAACTGTTGATGAATGAATTAAACATCACAACTGATTATATACAAAACAATTTATTATTAACATCATTAATCACTGGTAACATATCATCGTGTTACGTTTTGAATAAAAGTTTATTTTATCAATCCATTGGTTATTTTGGTGTTACAGAATATTTGGCACCCATACGTTTCAAAAAAGTTGTGAAAGCATTAGAACGAAACGAAATATCAGAAGCCGGTAAGCAATATCATAAGTTGCATATTTGGATTGATAAAATACACGGTGCTGCATGGTTCAATAATGTCGTGAGATCAATGATTGATAAACAACCAGAATGTGGTATAGAAATTGCTAGAGGTGCATTAGCTCGTCTAGAAACATCATTAGAACATTTAGAGTCATTTGCGCCACCATCAAGAGAAGCGTCAGCAACAATTCCTCCACAGCAGCAGTCAGCGGTGGGAAATCATTCACTTTAGGCCTGTTGTAAACTGTGCTTTACTTAGATATTGCGAATACTGAACCATGGCAGGAAAAACATTGTGTATATCAAATACTTACTGATACGCAAATCTATGCAAAACATTTGTTCAGCGAATATCTAATCTTCTATTACTATTTGTCTCCTATCTTCATGAACTATAAAAAACTTAGTTTTCTAATACTCTTTCTTTTATTGTTATTAAACATCTCTACATTCGTCGGATAGAGGATTTTGCAAGGGGGAAACAGTTGATTTTCCGATTTCTCCGCTTTTTACTGATTTTCATCAATTTTTACTGATTTTCATCGATTTGCACTGATTTTTTTCGATTTCCTTTGATTTGTTTTGGAAATCAAGTAAAGAGACTGTGATAAATAGTGCAGAACCTGCTTTATTTGTACAACATAGGAATCAGACATAGTGGAAGTAAAGAAAAAAAGACATGCTCATTCTGAATTCAGTGATATTTTTCCTTTTGTTTTGCTTGTAACTCCCGTTTACAAAATAAATCGGTTTTACGTGAAACCTCTACTTTCACTCATAAAAGTTATGTATGTGTTAAAAAGTCAGCTTTTAGAAATCTTTCATTGTTACCGAGAAAGTTAAAAAAATACGACCGACATGTTTGTTGACATTAAACTAGTACTATCGCTTAGCAAACCTGGACTAATTTTCACTTATTCTATATTTCGTATTTGGAATATATTTGTCAATATTTGTCTGCTGTGTGCTTGATCTATGTCATTTCTACATTTATAACTGATACATATGCATATATTAATATCATGCTAATCCATCATCACTACCAACTAACTAATTTACATCTTTAAATAATTTTCTGATAGTGGACAAACGAAACGAAGATTGTCGTTCAAGTAGGAAAAAGATTCGAATTTATTCTAAGTGTGGAATTCATACACTTATATTTACACAAGAATGGAAAACAGAATAACGATTCAAGAATTTCCAAGATCTTAGGCACAAGACTCAGTCACTCATGATCTTACAGGGGAACTCCCCCAACTGTCCGGTCGTTTTTTTAACGAAATCTACTGGGTTGTAGGTAATCGACCATGTTGATTCTTAGTATCAAGATGAGACGGGCTTAAAGGCCTCCAGAGACTGTTTTTCTGGAAAACCAGTTTTTCAGAAACTCTATAAAGTAACCAAATCTTTCTTAATGAGGAACGATCGTAGAACAGTGGGCACCCATGTGGACATTAGATGGGTGAAATACGAAACTGGACTTTTGGCAAATTCACATAGTAGAACATATACTTCGGCAAACGCTCTATCTTTTTGCCATTGGAAGTTTTTTTCTAGATATCATAGTTACCAACAAAATCGCTAAGCAAATTTTTGTCGTAAAACAGCTATAATGATACAAAAATTATTTCTCATTTAAAATATTTACATTAATACACGATTTATTTTCTAGAGAACAAGTACGAAGGCAACGACATGCACCGAAAATAGCAATCGAACATATACAAAAATATTTTAAATATGCAATTAAGCTAAACTCGGAGATCACACGTAGGAATAAAAATGATATTCAAGCATTTGAAGATTTCAAGCTATGGTTGCTGAACGATCGGAGTAACGATTGAAATTTGACAGAAGCAGCAGATGTACTGTTGTTTCGATTTGAAGAAGAGCAACGCATGATTTTCAGTCACTTCAAGAACAATAATAACAGATCTTATTCTTTTAAATGTCCTTTAAACACAAAAAGGTAAAACTATCATGACCTTATTTAACACTTCACTTAACTGTTTGTTATCTGCAGTTTGCTATCTGCACATATTGCCTTCATGAAGAGAAAAAAAGCATCATCATTTTTATTGTAATCGATAGAAAAGGCAAAAGAAAGACCTTGTAACTAAAAAGAGAGAAAAGATGGTATACTTTTATCATTCTTTTCGATGTAATAAAAAGCTGTTATTTTATGTAAAACGGGGAAACTCGTTTAGAACTCCACTGATTGTTAATAGAAAAGCTCGCTGAACCAAGCTGATATTAGAAATATGACAGCGTTCATTGTAGATCTCCTTCATTTGACAATCCTGCAATACGCCCTAACTTATAAAATCTAGTCCAGAATGACAGGTAGCTATTCAATGCCAACCGCTGTTACAGAACTAAATGACAGAGTGCGCATATAATTTTAAAATCCATTTGGTTTGTTTTACAGTTAATACTTGATTCCACGAGGAGTGGGAGAGAAATCAAGAAACCGCTATTATGCTACTCTAACAAGAAAAATGACTGCTCAATAGCATATTTCTGATGTAAACGCTTTATTTCTGTGACGTAGAATAGAACGTTTCTGAGAAGAGATACAAAATTCTCCTGAAGAGGGTAAAACATCTGCGAGATTCTATGCATAATTCTCACACAAAACGCATAATTCTCGTGTAAAAACATTATTCTCGTGACATATACAAGAAAGTTTCTATTAAAAGATAGAGTATCACAATACACAAAAAGAAGAACGTTTTGTCTAGGTCACGAGAAGAATGCTTTTACACGAGAATTATACTGCTTTGCGTGACAATTACTCGGATCGATGAGAGCATATTTCTCTTGTAAATGCATTATTTCCGTGACGTAGAGAAAATAGTTGTAAAGTATCATCATATCTACTACATCGTGCATAAGTCTCATATACAGCAGCATAGTTCTCGTACATGAATGCTGTAAATAGCAAAATTGACATATCGCAGTTTTATCACCACTTAGAAGTAGTGGTATAGTTACCGTTCTCTCACCTACCTTGTCGAAATATGGCACTACTTTTCCTAATTAGTAATTACACTGATGAGTTCAGAAAAGTTCCCAAATCTTTTTAAAATCTTGATACAGAATTTTGAAGATATGTCAGACTCGGGTCCGTAGTAAATCTTGATCAAGAAATTTCAAGAAGCAGAATCTTTAAAGAACTGATACAGAAATTTCACTTTCCGGAAGACATGGGTTAAATGCATGTGTTAGATCATCAATCTATGTTGAAAGGGCTTCGTGGACCCTGTAAATTAGCTTAACCTTCTTTCAAGTATCAGATCCCTAGCAGAATTTCTGCTTAATTTTATTCACACGAAAGTAACTTATGACTTGCACATAATATGACTGATCCACGTATACCGTATCATCTTCGAATTTCCAACTATCGTGAAAATCGATTTCGAATTTCAAGAAGCTTGGGAATTAATTATAGAAAATCGATCGATTTTCTAGAATATAAGAAAATCAAACTCGAATTTCCAGTATTTACAAAATCGACGCCGAATTTTCATATTTTGGGAAATTCTACAGTGATTTGTGCACAAAATAGAAAATCGCGAATTTCCAAAAAGTCAGAAAATCTACGAGCATTCCAGATCGATTTTCCATGAACTAGAAATTAATTTCAAATTACGGTGTAGTAGTTACAAGATTTTGAGGAAAGTTATACAAATTATTAGGCCAATTCAGCTTCAAACTAGCTAATTTAGTAGATGTTACGGGAATCAACAAATTATATAAATTTAAACCGAACATGTTATCCTTTCCGATCTTTATCTTCAGCTTTTTTTAAGAGCATCTTTCCACCTACCGATAGACCAGACTAATGAAATTGGGCGCTCTATAGTTTCCTGGTTGGATGCACTTCTACTATTTGAGTCCAAAAGGACAGATGGTTTAATATCACATCGAGAAATCAATTTTTAACCCTTTTTTGTGATGAGTGGGAGATAAATGAAGAAACAGCTATTATACTACTCCACGAGAATTTTGTACCTTTTCATAAAAACTCTTTTGTTTACGTCAGAGGAATAATGCATTTACACGCGAGCTATGCTGTTTTATGTGAACATTATGCACAATCTAGAAGATATTATGCTCTGTTTACGAGAATTTTGTATGTTTTCACAAAAATTTTTACGACATGCTTTCCGTGACCTATACAAAAAAAATGTCTACACTCTAAGAAAAAATGCGACTTCTGGGAAGACACAGAAGTCGGTGCCCATTTAGTCGTACTCCGTGGATTTGGCGGTTAGTTTCAACTTTAAAATTCTGAAATTCAGTTTTTTATACAGAGTTTTCGATGGGAATCAGATAAAAAATAGGTTTGGAATTTTAGAAAAACAATAAGTACGAAAAATTTCCTTATTTTCCAAAATTTCACGATTTTTTGCTTATTTTCAAAAAAGGGGTATTTTTAAATCTTTTTCACCAAAACATGACCTCTTAAAATGTGGGATTGTGTTTTTCCGATTGCAAGTCGATGAGTTCTACCCGACCATGCTAGAAAAAGCGAAAAAAAATCTTACTGTAGTTTTGAATTATCGGCACATCACCGATGAGGAGAAACGACAGACAGAAATGGGCCTATATTATTGGCACTCAAACATTATGTAGTGGTATCAGACAAGAATCATTTGTCTAACAACATTTGTCAAGTTGTGATCAAGATTACTGTAATCGTCCAAAAGATAGAAGTTGTTTAAGACGTAGTGGATGATGACAAATGAGAAAATTGGTCTTCGATGACGAAGAATAACATATTTAAAAATTAATATGCTTTTCTAATTTTTTCAATAAACAACGATGTTCCGCGAATCCTGCTAATAATTTCTCAATTTCCCGACAGAAAACAGAAAGAAGCATAAGTCAGACGGTTAGAGCTTGCTAAAAAACCACCAAATACGTTTATAAACGTCCACTACAAACTTCGTAGTTTCGATTTTGCTGACAGACAAAAGATAGTTTTAACCTTCGAGAACATGAAAAATAGCGTTTTAGTATTATTGCCGTTACTTGTGCACTATATATATAATATCACATTTTTCGTTTTTAAGAATCTGTAACGAATTTACTTATACAGATGGGCTTCTATAGATGTTCGACATTGGCTGTCACGTCAAATTGTAAATTCTACGGATGTTCGCCTGACATGGAAGACAACTCTTGCAGTTGCTTTTATGGTCATAACTTACTCACACTACGGTATAGAACATAACAGAGCAATGCTTGACTTATTAGCTCGATTTCTTATTTTTTGCTGCTCATCTAGTGGATGGAAGACAAACGAATTCTGCCAAAGCGGTATTCTCAATATCTTCTGGAAGTAGAATTCATTAGTAGTTAATAAATAAGAATGGTAAATAATGAATAACTATTTTTCACGATTTATCGCAGAGTAGTCACTACTCACATATACTGCTCCATAAAATGTCAACTTTTAATCCAGTGTAACAGATCTCGTAAAAATATTCTCTAACAACTGATAAACTAATTATATAGTTTTCCAGAATATGGGTCGCCGTAGAATACAACTCGTGTACTACAAAGTGACATAGAAATTAGTGAGAGATAATTCCAAATTGTGTAGATCTCATAATTTGTTCCTGCAAGCCAAAAATTCTTAGACTCCACTGCTAATCCATTGTCAGTTTTCAAGAGAATAATGTTATGATCAACTAGTTTTGTCAAAACTATGGCAAACTGGAATGCAATTTGTTTTGTTACGGCATCAATGAAGTCATTGAATTTAACAAAATAGATTTCTTTCTTCTATTTCATAAATCGTGAATAATAAAACCTGTCTGTAAGACTAGCTTCCAGAAAAAAATGCTCACTCTCATGCCTTGCGCAGTCAAACACATAATCTAATTCCCGTAGCTAAACGAGAATGTGAGTATTTGCATAAAACATTCATGCGTTCGGCGATATTACTATGGAAGAATCTATCAAACGATATTAAAGTTGAGAAAAGTATTGAATTTAACATTTAAATTTAAAATTAAAAATTTATATTCCTTAGAATTAAGACAGGATTCGCCAGCCCATTGAGAAAGTGCGTAACATGCAAAAATTTGACATATGATTTTTATTTGATTTTCAGATTCTACAATCAAAACTGGAGTAACGAAAAAAATTGTTCACTTTCAGACTTTACTTTGGCCAAGTTACAGAGTTTTCAAAATGAGGTGCATCGAAGAATTGCAAAAATGAGCACTGTCTCATATTTTCGATATAACTCCATCATTTTTATTGACGTTTGAGTTATTCCAGTTATTTGCAACAGCTAAATCAATTATATTATCCCCGTTCAAATCAGCTGTGCCACACCTATCGAACTACTTGCTGCTGAATATATATTTTGTGATTGAAATGTTCCATCACCTTTACCAATCAGCACACTAGTAGTATTACCATATTTGTTTGCAACAACCAAATCAATTTTACCATCACTATTCAAATCACCTGCTATAACATCGTAGGATATGTATCCAATTGCGCATGAAGCAAGACTTTGGAATGTTCCATTTTCATTACCAAAAAATATGTTTACGACAAAAGTAAAACGACACGCCACCGATAAATCTAATTTGTGGTCACTATTGAAATCTGCTGTTGTAATCGACGTTGGGTGGCTTGTCGTGTAATATATTATTGGAGATTGAAATGTGCCATTGCCGATGCCAAGTAAAACACCCATAGTATCAGAACCAGGATTGTAGTAGCCAAATCCGTTATACTGTCATTATTAAAATCAGCTGCTGTAATCGAGCTCGGTAACCATCCGCCCGAATCATATGTCTGCTCAAGCTGAAACGTTTCGTTGCCATTATTAATAAATATGTTAATACTGTTATTGTCCTCGCTGGTAACAGCTAAATCGTTTCTATTATCGTTGTTAAAATCAGCTAGTGTAATCCAGTGTGGATTAGTACCATTAGTTGGATATAACGTTGGACTTCGAAATGTTCCATTGCCAATATTATTAGTATTATAATTTGTGACAGTCATATCAAGTATATTATCCGCATTAAAATCAGTTGTAATGACCGGTAGAGGACCTGAACCATTTCCAGTAGAATATGTTTGTTGATTTTGTAATGTTGTATGAGAAACTGCAATGGAAATACACGAAGGAAAGAACGATAAAAATTAATTAACGAAAACTATTTTTTTCGGATTTCAGACATAAAACTGAATGGTGAATCGCCCGAAGTTGCAACTCGCTTTTACGATGACACAAGGGAGGATCGTTTTTAGAAGAAATGACCTTTCCTACTCAACGAAGCAAAATCTAAATAAAACTGGCTTTTCAACGGTTCTAATGAAGTAAAAAAGTCGACTACGTCTAACTTTTAGTTCGCGTTATTATAGTACGAAAGCATCAACCTTACCATCCTTGATGTTATACGGAGCTCCGATTACGCAAAAAGATGTAGTTAAATACTTAGGTATGTTTTTTACGAGTGATACATCGTGGAAAGGTCCATTCTAAGGTATCATCTATTTTAGGATTAATGAAACTTCATAAGCATTTATTGACTAAAAATGCACTTGAAATTATTTTTAAATCTTGTGTAATATCAATTTTGAACTACGGTGCTGTCATTTAGTCATTGACTACATCGAGCAATTTGAATAAACTGGAGAGTATGCAGTATTATTATGCTGCTTTAGCCACCTTAGGACCAATGAAGTGATCAGCGAAGGACAAATTATTTGATAGTTTAGGTTGGATCACAATAAAAGATCAGTTTAGAATATTTCGTTTGTTATTTTTTGCAAAAATGGTAAAAGATTTTACTCCTCAATATCTTACTGTTCATTTACAATGCCATTAGCCTCATGATAGATATAGTTTACGTAGTAATCAAAAATCCACAATCGATCCGGTAGATAGTGCTGACCAGAGCTGATCACCTGCATGGTAAACTGCCTGCAAACTGCAGGCAGTGCAGGCAGGTTGTAGTTTGCAGGTGAATAAAAAAAATTTCCACTAACGGCCGGCAGATAAAGAAGAATGTTTTCCTGCCTGCACTCCCTGCAGGGGAGAAGATTTTACCTGCATTCCCNAAGACGTTTTTGCGTGGAGAATGAAAATAGAGAGGAAACGAAGATAAATACTGATCACACTGAAGGTCAGAATGATCCCTTAACGAAAAGAAACTAACTAACAGTTTTTTTTGTATATCTACTAGACACTTTAAGATGAAGGAGAGAAACGTTTTATCCATAATCGCTTATATCAGTTTAATATGTCATTTTCCTCTAATATAATGGCCTAGACCGCATCTGTGTAGAATTCTTATTTCTCTTTCTTAAATGAATAAAGTTTAAACTGAACTAAACAAAAAATATAGAATAAAGAAAAAGAATGAAGTTCGTTCTTATTGTATGTAATGTTTCTTTTAGTATGCGCACTAGGTATAGTATATAGAAGATGACAAAAGACTATAACAATAACAGA